CTCAATCCTGCTCATGTTGAGCCAAAAAATGTTAAAACCTGCTGTAAGTATGGTTTTCCTCCTTACACCCCAACATCCACACATAGAGAGTCAAATTCCAAATAATTCCTTGATTTTCCTGCTGGAGGGAGGCTCTATGAGCCACAGCTGGGTGTGGCATCAGTTTGTCACTGAATTGAGCAAAATCCCACTAAGGGAACTCAACCAAGCCACCACAAGGTCCTCAAAATGGGCTTGGTTCTGCTTATTTTATCCCCTCTTGCTTTAATTGTATGGGAACCTCCTTATTAATTCTCTGGCTCCAATGATCAGAAAAGTCCAATGTGCCTCTAAACACAAAATTTGAAAATCAAAAATTAGCCCAAGGGTTTCAAACCCAACACTTTCTAATTTCCAGCAGCCAAGGGATGACCTCTCCCAGGTTGTGTTTGTTAAGGGCAAAGCCAATCAAAAATTGCTCTACGTGGAAAAATAAATGGAGACAAATGAAACAAAAGGAAGAAGATAAAAGCCCCAACTCTGATGTGGGAATTAATTGGTCATTATGGCATTAATTTTGTGTTTATTTCCCATTTTGAAAGGAAAATGGAGATTGCAGTTGCTGCCCCACCTCCTGTAACTCACAAAGAAATGCAAATAATTTTCAAGCCTGGATTCAGGTCATGGACTGAATCTGTTCTGAAATCTGTTGCCTAATTGAGGGTCTGATCAAAATCTAGGATTTCCATGTGCCTTCGATTCTTTGCCCCATCAATAATTGAAGATCAAGGAGTTTTTAATTGAAAGGGCTCAGCGTGTTCTTCACTGGAGAAATGGTGGAGAGTCCACAGCAGATAAGGCTTTCAAATAAGTCAGGGTGTCTTTGTGGAGCCAACCAAAGGATGTTTCTCCTGCTGCTATCAATAATGGGAATCTGTGCTCCACAGCTTGGCTGCTGAGTGATGTTTAATTAAAGCAGAATTAAAAAATTACATGGCAGCTCATCTGTGGTCATGTGTGGTGTGACACAAAAATAATTTTACCTTTAGGAATAAGGAGTTCAGCACTCCCCTATTTTTAGTATCTGCACCAAACTGGGTTAAAACACAAGGTGCCCAAAGGTTTGTGAGAATTGAAAGTGTTTTCCCCTTGGATTTAAACAAAATTTTCAAGAGAACACCACGACTAAACCAGCAACCAATATTTAATGTGGAATTATGGATGTGCTTCCAGGTAAGTTCTAGAAGCCACTAAAATGTCCCAAACTGCAAAACCCCTCCCTCAGAACTGAACTTTAGGAATCTTCAGCATGGAGAGGAAGGGTCACCTTGCACCGTGGATTCAATGCTGGTGTCTGCAAGAGCTTCAGGAACATTTAATGTGTGCAGGTGGGATCCCAGCCCGGCTGTTTTTCATGCTAGGATTCCTTTCCAGCTTCTTCCTCTTCAGTCCTGGTAGGACACAGCTCCAGGGACCCCCAAAATGGTGATTTGGGTGGGTTTGTTCCTGCTTGCACTTGGGGAATCCAGGATTGCAGCTGGACCAACCCCAGGGTGCATCCATTCCCTGGATGGTTTTGGGAGGCAAACTCTTGGCATGATGTGTTTCACAACATCTTCACTTCCCCCCTTACCCACCCAAAATATCTCACAGTTTGTCCTTGTCACCCACAACTGTATTTTCCCCCCTGCTCTAACACACTGGATTTGTGAATTTAGCCCATTTCCCACTGCAGATGTTCCCAGCAAATCCTGAGAGGAACAAGCAAGTGGTTAACACATTTCTAAATGTTTATAAATCCGTAAGAACTGATTAATATTTAATGGTGCCAAGAGGTTTTGTCTGCTGACATCTGCAATCAAACAGTTTCAAAAGAGAGCACAATTCCCGGGCAGAGAAGCATAAATAGCATGTTATTTGCCTGTTCTGCACCAATTACTCCTCCAGACTGCACAGAACCAGTGAAGGGAATAATTATTTTCAGACAGAGAAGTTCATTAAACAATAAAAAAAAAATCCATGAAGGGAAAAATAATAATTTAAAGGAATTTACAATGAAGACTTCTGCATTTTTTAAGGTGGGATATTCAGACCACTGTGACTTCAGGAGCTGGAGGGCTCTAAACCAGGTTCTTTTTCCTGTGCTGGGTTGTGGAGATGCCACAGTTATTTTACAGCATCCCAGAACAAAATTCCAGGTGGGAACAAACTGGGAAGCATTACAAAACACAAATAGGATGCATTTGCCAGGGAGCTGAGTCAGGCACCAGAATTTTCTCCAGTCATCAGGGCTTGTGCTTTCCCCATTCGCATGTGGGCTTTATTCCTGCTTTTTCATGATTAAAGTCTCCTTAACTAATCCAGGAAGGCAGCAAATGATGATTTGTTAATTATTTAGTTATTAGAAGGTGAATTTCTGGGATGTGGAGGTTCTGTACAGGTGTTCCCCTTGCTGAGGGGCGGGGGTGTGTGTGCATCTCATGGAGAGCATCCAGCACCTCCCTGGGTGCTCCCTGGGGTGAGATCTCAGCCTGAGCCAGACCCAAAGAGCAGGAAAAGCCCCCAGGACCCTTCTGGCTTGGCAGAGGTGAAGCTGCTTCTGCAGCTGCAACTCTGGTGAAAGTTCCTCCCAAGCCTCCCTGTGCCAGCTCGTACTGCATTGCGTCAAAAGCAGCGCCTGGATTTCCCAAGGTGAGGTGAGTGCTGGAAGCAGGACCCACCCCACAGCCCTGGGAGCAGCTGGGAACCTGTGAACCCAAAATCCAGCCCAGGCTCCCTCCCAGCAGCCTGGGCAGCAGGGCTGGGGGCCCCAGCGGATGCTGGTTGCAGAGTCAGCCCTGCTGCAGCTCCTGCTGGGGCTGACTCAGCCCTGCGGAGCTGCAATGCATTAAAAATAACCAAGGGAGCAGGGATCAGCCTGGGAACGGCAGCAGGAGAGAAAGGAGAGCTGCTGGAGCTCTGCAGGTGCTGCTCTGGAGCAGCACTGGCTGCACAGGGAGCTTTGCTTCCCAAAACAGAGTGATGCAAAGGGCTGAGGGAAGGAGGAGTTTGTCAGCAAGAAAAAGTTGTGAAAGAGGACAAAAATTTGGGTTTTGAAGAGTTAAAGGAGGTCAGAGTGCTTAGAGAAAGGCAGAATTTGATATATCATGGAATGGTTTGAGTTGGAAGGGACCTTAAAGCTCATCCAGTGCTACCCCTGCCATGGGCAGGGACAGCTCCCACTGTCCCAGGGTACTCCAAACCCCATCCAGCCTGGCCTTGGGCACTTCCAGGGCTCCTGGAGCAGCCACAGCTTCTCTGGGAATTCTATCTCTGCCCCTCAAGATCCTCTAAACAAAGAATTCCTTCCCAATATCCCATCTAAACCTCCTCCCTATCAGTTTGAAGCAGTCCCCCCTTGTCCTGCCCCTCTACCCCTGGTCAGTGCTCTCTCCAGCCCAGCTCTCCAGCTCTGCTCTACCCTTAATGCTCCTGATGGGCTCTGGCCAGGGCTGGAAAAGGACTTTTGTCCCCAGGAGCAGCCCCTCTGTCCCTGGCTGGCCAGGCACCCTTCCTGCTGGCAGCTCCCCAGAGGCAGCGCTTGTTTCTGAGAACTAGCTCTCATTTCTTATCTCTGAGCAGCAGCCCCAACAGTCTGCCTGGGGCAGCTGGAGCTGGCACACCCCGGAGCAGCTCCCCTCCATCCCCCCACAGCTCTGAAAGCTCTCTGCAGAGAGCACTGCAAGCTCCCCCAGCTCTCCTCGCCACTGCCCTGGAGAGGGAAAAGGAATTCTGCTTTGTAACAGCAGCTCGCCATTGTCACAGGGAGAAAAAGCTCCCATTAAAAGCAGGAGGGAAATGTGGAAGGAAATATTTCAAGAGGTGCTGTGGAAGGAAGAGAAAATTATTTTACTTGTTTTCCTTCTGGTTCTCAAAAGCATCAAAATCCCAGGAAAGAAGGGAAAAAAAGATTGGAGATGGCACTGGGACTCTGTGAGCTACTGAAATTACTGCTTTTCTGGGTGGTTTCACCAAGTTTCTTTTTCTTTCTCTTGCTGCTTGGGAATGTGAAAGAAAATAATAATTTAAAGTGCTTACTTCATTCATCATAATCTTTTTTATCACCCTTTAAACACTGAAAAGGGAAATGCTTTTGGTACCCCCCCTAAAACTTGTAAAGAAAAGAGATTTCCTTTCTCTCTGGACAAAGCTGTTGAGGAGAACACAAATCAACTGATGCCACATCATCAATGCATAAAATCAAGTTACCCCGCAATCCTGTGCAAAAATTCACCCAGACAAATCTTTCTGTAAAGTTTAGTGCAGCCACTAATGCCTAAATTTGAACTCAAATTTCCATGGGTTTATTTTATTGAAACTGGATTAATTTGCAGCATTTGCCCAGTGCTTACCCTTACAAGGTTTAATTTTACATATCAGCTTTAGGTAATTGAACATTGACAGGCTCAGAGCATAGGACACTGCTTGTGGAATGGCCAGGCTGTGCTGCTATTCAGATGCTCCTTTTTTTATGCATTTTTTAAGCTCAGTTAAAGCTTTAAAAGGCCCTGGGAAATTCTCAGAAGAAAATGAGTCTCTGCAGCCCAGAGAAGGTTGAGTTCAGACAGCACCTGAAGGAGGCAGCTCCTTCCCCCACCCCATCCATCCTTCTAACTGCTCAGCATAGTTTGATTTTAATGTTATTTTGGAAGATATTCTTTGCACCCTCAGTTGTTCTTCCCTCTCCCCACTGACCCCCCAGACACCAAACAACCTCTGCCACAATTTAACAGCCACATTTGCTTCTCCCCTCTGCATCGGTTTGATGAAATTCGTGTTTTTCAGAAGGGAGCTGGTGCTTGTTGCACCCTCAGCCAGTGAGACCCATGCCAGCCACCACCACACCCCAGGGTATTTTTGTAAAATGTGTTAAACTTTACACCCCCAAGAGATTTTTCCCACTTCTCATTCACAAGACGAGTGGAACAAACCCCTTTATCTACCTTTTAAGGGCATCAGTGACACAGGACAAGCACGAGGAATCTGTGTAAGCATTTCTGAACTTTATTGACTGCTTTATTGCACGTACTTAATGAAGCCTCCATCATTTCCCCCACCCACCGTTTCCAGAATTACTTGTAAATGCAAGTTAAAGGTAACCTTTCATTCCCACCACTTATTCCCCGCCCCCCCCCCATTTTTAAATGTTAAGATTCTGGGTCACCCAGGGAAGACGAAAGCCCTGAACTCATACGTGGAACCATGCGGCACTCGGGGAGCAAGCCTTGGGTGCTCTACAAGCAAACTCAGACTCTGCACAGGGAGAAACATCATAATCATGAACTGGAACCTCAGTGGTCACTGAATTAAATAGGTGAGACTGCAGCTGGAGCTCAGTCAGTCGCTTCTGATGGAGAGCTGCCCTCAGATCAAGCCTTCTTCTTGCCTTCGCTCTCTTCTTTTCCTGCCACTTCTTTCTCTTCCTTCTCCTCCTCACCAGCTTCCTCAGCAGCTTCCTGGGACTCCTCCCCTTCTTCTGCTGCTGTTTCTTCCCCTTCTCCTTCCTCTTCCTCACCCTCTTTGGCTTCTTCTGATTCCTCCTTAGCACCTTTGAAGGACAGCAAGGTATTTCACATCCAGATACAATTCCTGATCCCAGTTCAGTAGGAATCCCCTCCAACCCCAGGCACCTCTGGCCAGCTATAGAAAAACTGCACAACCAATTTCTCCTGGATTTCAGGGGGAGTGAAACACTTCATAAATCATGACCTTGAAAAATACTAGTTCTGGACTCAGTGCTTAAAGCCTTATCCAAAGACTTGAATTATCTTTCACTGCTCTCCAATTGGCTCTCTAGCTGTAATTTCACTGTAATTAAACTTCATATTAATGAACCCCTCGTAGTTCAGTGGCCACCAATGTCTTGCAGAGAAGCAATGTTGCCATGCACTGAACCCAGTAATTCCAGCCCCACACATCAGCTGATGTTCCCTTTATCTCAGGCTGCTCCCTGGGAATTCATATTTAGCTCAGGATGTCCTTGATCCTTCTTTTTGAGGATGTCTGTAACACCTGAACATTATCACTGGGGTTTTTGGAAACCTATAATCTGCCTGATTTGAACACTTGACCTTATCTTCCATTCAATATTCAGACTTTCCTGGTAAATTCCATGCGCTTAACCCCACCATCCTTTGGCTCATGGGAGTAGAAAAGGAAAGAGCTTTAATCATTAGATTTAATAACTGGGATTTTTTTGGGTTTATCCTATCGGAGCAGGGTGCAGCATGAATTAAAGGGGTCTAAAAGTAACTCTTAAGTACCTTCCTCCTCTTCTTCAGCCTCTTCGCCTGCTTCTTCCTCGCCTTCCTCTTTCTCTTCCTCCTCACCCTCTTCTGCAGGAGCTGCCTTGGCTTCTCCTGCTTTAGCAGCCTCGATGGTTTCCTCGATTTCAATCTGCTCCTCCTGGACATGGCTGGAATAGTAGGTGGGGAAGGAGCGGGTGGTCATCAGGTATGAGCTGGACTGGAGGCCGCTGTAGGCGGACCTGCCAAAGGTGGGGGCACTCTGGCTGTAGCCACTGGTGATGCTGCCCACACTGGTGAAGCTCAGCCGGGTCTCCTCCCCTTCCAGCAGTTTCCTAGCAGGGAGAAAATAAAAGCAAGGAGAGAGGAGTTGGTTGTGCTGCATCAGGACTCAGCATCATGAGCCCTGCAGACCGCACCTGTGGTTATTTGTTAAGGGCTTGTTTCACACTATGCGCCACTGCTACACTATTTCCTTGGAATAATTCCTTCAGATGCATCCACTGTGGATGAATTAACACTTTTCCTTGTTGGAAGGAACAGGAAAACCTTTCTAGACCCAGGTCCTTCTGGCAGGTGAAGCTAGAGGTGTATTTTGCCACCCTCGCACAACCCAGTGTGGCTGGAACAATTTGCTGCTGAGCTGGCAGACAAGGTTTGGAGCTGCTCTTCCCAGTATTCCCCCTTGTGGCTCCCACAGAAATTCTGTTCTAGCATTGAAATCTCTCAGTATCTGAGACAAAACATTACAGTGATTTAGCAGCAATTCTACTGGAAAATATTTATTTTGTAGATTTGCAAATTAGAAAAAAAAGAATCCCTGTTCTTGAGGGATTTCCCATTTTGAGAACGAGCCGCTGGTATTGAGGAATTCCAGTGATACAAAATCTCTTTCCTAAGTACAGAACAAGTACTTTTATCTGTAAGGATGGAGAACTGAGATCATTTATTGCCAAGCTAAAAATTCTGTGTGCACATAGAGAGGAGCTGATTAAACTCTGCCACAAATCTATAAAAATTTCTGCTGGGGGAATGATAAATAACCTGAATTGTCCTGGAGAATGGAAACTGCTCTGAGTTCTAGCTCATTAGAACATCCCCCACCATACCTATAAGCTGCAATTTCGATGTCCAGGGCCATTTTCACATTGAGCAGGTCCTGATATTCCTTCAAGTACCGAGCCATCTCGCTCTTTGTGGTTCTCAGCTCATTCTCCAATTTGTTGATTGTATCCTGTTGGATGGAACAATATTGACAGCGTAAAATTCTGTTCTCTCAAGTCTAGCAATAATCACAAGGATTTTTTCCAACCCTTTTAACTTAATCTTGCTCTAGCACACAGACACTGCACAGCTCCCACTCCACCCTCAGCCAAAAAGGATCATTTAACACCTTCCTGGCAGGTTTTCTACTCCACATTATTCCAGCCCAATTCAACACACAGAACTCAATTTTCTGGTACCCAAGTGCTAAAGCATCTGTGAAATTTGTGTATTGTTTCATTTGGATTTTGGCCTTTTAAGAGCTTTTTCTAATTTTAGTTTAGGGATATCCATTGATGATCCTTGCAGGTCCCTTCCAACTTGGGATATTCTATGATTCCATGATTTTTAGGGACAGTATAGTTCAGGCTGTATCAGTACATGGACACATGATATTGGGATTTTTCAGGGGCATTTTGCATTCTGATTTTACAACACCTCACACTTTAGACAAGCAGTACCAGAAGCAAAGTCCCATCTCTGGGGTGATTTTGGTAATTCAGGTCCTGATTTGTCTCTGTATTTCCACACCATATCCTGCTTTATAGCTCTGTGGCATTCGGCACTGTGATTTTAGGATGCCTTTTCTGAACACGGGCACAGCACAAACCGGGAGCTATGCCCCAGAAAACCCTCCCTGCAAACCTGATCCCCTCTTCTGTGAGACTCTGCAGACCCCAACTCCCCTCACCTGCGGAGCCCAGCAAACCCTGACCCCCTCACCTGCAGAACCCTTCAAACCCCAACGACCATCCCATCACCTGCAGAGCCCAGAAAACCCTGAAACCCCTCACCTGCAGAACCCTGTAAAACCTGACCTCTGTCACCTGCAGAGCCCTTCAAATGCCATCATGTCATCACCTGCAGAGCTCTCCAAACCCCATCGAGCCCTCCAAACCCCATCATCCCCTCACCTGCAGAACCCTCCAAACCCCATCATCCCCTTACCTCCAGAACCCTCCAAACCCCATCATCCCCTCACCTCCATAACCCTCCAAACCCCATCGAGCCCTCCAAACCCCATCATCCCCTCACCTGCAGAGCCCTCCAAACCCCACCACCTCCGCATTTTCAGAGCCCTTAAANGGGGACGGGGCACGGCGACATCGCCGCGGGGAGGTGATGCCGGCAGCGGTCCAGCGCCTCGCTGCTGTCATGCCCTGAGCAGCACGGGCCGGAGCTCGCCCCGGTGATGCCTGGACAGCTCCGGCTATCACGTCAGTGAGGGAATGCCTGGACAGCTCCGGGGATCACACAGTGAAAGGATGCCTGGACAGCTCCGGGGATCACACAGTGAAAGGATGTCTGGACAGCTCCGGGGATCACACAGTGAAAGGATGCCTGGACAGCTCCGGGGATCACACAGTGAAAGGATGCCTGGACAGCTCCGAGCATCCCTGCAGGAGTGGGGGGCTGTGACCGGTCCGCTCTGAAGCGGCCCCGGCTCGGCTCCCCCTCAGGAGTCTCAGCTCTCCTTGGGCACAGCCTCGAACCCTCCCGGGGCATCTCTCGGCTCCCCCTCAGGCCCCAGTCTGCCCCTTTCAGATTCAGCTCCCCTCAGGTCTATCTGCACCCCCAACCCGCCCAGGCTGTGTTTAATACCCAGCTCTGCTTCTCCACAGCTGCCTTAGCTGAAGCTTCGGAATGTGCTGCAAGCCCCAGGTTGTGGCTGAGGTTTCCTCGGTGAGGTTGGGGGACACCCAGCCATGGCTGCAGCTCAGCACCCTCAGACATGTGTAAATAGCATATTTTTTTGCCTCCAGTTTGCAGTTTTCCCAAGGCATGAGAGCTCTCTGAGCCCCTGCATCCTCCCCACATCCTTTGTTACAAATGGTCCCTAATAACCAGGTAATTCTAGGATCATGGGACCCTGGAATGTTTTGGGTTGGGAGGCACCTTCAAGCCCATCCAGTGCCACCCCTGCCATGGGCAGGGACACCTCCCACTGTCCAGGGTGCCCCAAGCCCCGTCCAACCTGGCCTGGGGCACTTCAGAGGGAGCCTGGCAGTGATGTTTGTCCTTTCATTACACGAAAGCAGAAGCAGACACAGGGCAGTTCTCAGTCCTGGCAGAACACACTGTTACCTGCTTCCTTGAGATTCCCTGGAGCCAAGTCTGTCTGAGACATGGATTACAGGGACAGGACAGGATATTTATCCTTGTCTAGTCTGGCTAATACAGAGATTAAATTGGACAGCTGCATTGTAGCTACCTCTGGGCTATGCTATTACCACTGGTTGGTTAGAACAAAGCAGTATTTATGTAGTAGAGATTTATCAGAGGTAAATTAGAGATGTGTTGAGCACAGACTGCATGGGAAGCTCAAAAAGACAATGAGAATTCACCTCTTGAAGTCAGGAGGTCAAATACACCACAAAACAGACTCTTCCGAGTTTTCTCCAGGAAGGAATGAAAGCCAGCACAGATTGGGGGACATTTATTAGACAGATATCACAAAAATGCTGAGGTGCTTCCCAAAGAAAGGTGAAAGATTTAGTAACATGTATGAATTAATGTGCGTGTCAGTAATTGCAGTGGTAATTGGGTATTTCAGGCACAAATAAATGTTTCTTTTATAGCAGCCTTTTAGGAAAGGTAGAGCAGGGTGGATTTAATGTATTTCCCACCAGGAACATCACCTGTTTTGTGGCAGCTTCTCCATAAGTTTCAGGGTATTTAAATATGAGGATCATTGAGCTGTGAAGGGCAAAGGCCTCTCAGAGGTACTGAAGTCCCTGCTCATCCGAGCTCGTTCTGGGTAGAATCAACTGCACCAAGAGCTCATAAAGGCTTAAGTGTCACCTATATCCCAGCAGAGCTGCTGGGAGACTTTATTCTGCAAATCTACAGAGTCTTCCTGAAGATCAGTGCAGCTGCTCTCAGCAGCCAGCACTGCAAGCCCAGCTCCTGCCTCGATTTTTATTCACCATTTGTTTTTTAAATTCCAGTCGTGGCTGCATTCATGTATGTCAGAGCAGTCATTCATGATCCAGAATATGCAAAGGAGAGCAGCACAGGTGAAATTTTCTGTGCTAATCTGTTTTATCTTTAGCAGAGATTGGGCTTGAAAGGGGAAGAAATAAGGAAGAGACACTGTAGAGAGGATTCACAGTGTGTTGGTCAGGGATTCAGGGAGCTGATATTTTCCGGGATACTCAGCTCCTGCAAACTGAAATACCTTGTTTCATGCCAATGGATTTATGCTAATCTGCCCTACAGCAGCCTGAGCACAAGATTTAATTATTAATGCTATAATTTATTATGCCATGTATTAATAAAGGAATGTACCTCAGCTTGTAAAAACCATCGTGCTTCAGATCCCAGCAAAACAAGCCTCGTACCTGTAGGCTGTTCATACTCCTTCTTACATGTTTTTTGAGTGGAAAACCCTTTGCTGTGTGCCAGGAGGATGGGGAGGAGGATTTGTCTGCAGACAGCCCTGCAGTGTGGAACCTCCGTGGAACTCAGGGTGAGGATGGAGCTTTGGTACTCCAAGGAAAAGAAAGCCACTCCTGAAGGCATCCTGCTCCCCAGACTTGTATTTCCAGGCACAGGGGAGTGCTGAGCGATTCCATCATTCCCTTTGTGTCCCTTTTGTTGCTTTCTGCCATAATGCAGAGGATAATCAAGGCCCTGGATGTGTTACTGTTAGAAAAATCAATACTGTGAGCAGGGGAAGGGGAGGAAGCAGGGCTGGTTCCAGCCAGGATGGAGTGGCCTGTGCCACTTGTCTCATTTGCAGCAGCTCATCCCTTTGGCCCTGGTGCAGCTGAAGCTGTTCCCTCACTGGTTTAACTGGGTGTGAGCGTCCCCAGGCCATCAACACTTCAGGCAGAGAATCCCAAAACCAGGTTCACTTCACAAAAACATTCCCTGGGTGACCTAAATAATGCAAATTGTCCTGAGGGATGATGCAGAAACGGAAAGGTGGCTGCTCCCCATCCCTGGCAGCGTCCAAGGCCAGCTTGGAGCAGCCTGGGATAGCGGGAGGTGTCCCTGCCCATGTCAGTGGATGAATTTTGAGGTCCCTCCCAACCCAAACCATTCCAGGATTCCAAATCCCAGCGCTGCCCGAGGAGAAGCAGGAACTCCAGGGCAAAACATTCCTGCTCATTCCTTCACTGCTGCATCCATAAAAAACACATCCCGACCTGCAACCGGCATTTCCTCAAGGAAAACCTCAGACCTGAGCCCTGTGCTGGGGCCTCACTGAGCACCAGGAAATTACCTGAATGCACCCACTGAACTCTGGTGGGGTTTGCCTTTTTTTGCCTTTTTTAATCTAAGAATTTCCCATCAGGAACGTTTTGGGTGGAGCCTTCATTGGCTGCTGCTGCTTTTATTGCAGAAGCACAGAAGGAGCTGTTGTTTGTTTAGTTGGGATTTACACAGAAATCAAGCAGTCCTGAGTAAAAAAAAACAAAAAACAAAAAAACAAAAAGGGAAAAATTATTAGTTTTCCTTTTAAAAAAATTTCTTTCTACCACATAAAAGCCCAGCTCTGAGGGAGTCAGGAACTCCCACTGCTAAAAATGTTCAATAGCTCTGATGTCAGGTCTTATGTATTTGTCTAAAATTATATCAAAGTGTCTGGATGAGTTGAATTAAAACAGACAAAAGAAAATACTCTCTGATCTATTTTGATGAATTGGAACAAAATCTCACATTTTAGGAATTCCTCTTCCTATATTCCAAACACTCCTTTTAACACAACACTCACAGGAATTTCCAAACCAAAGTAGAATTTTGTCTGCAAGGACTGAACTACAGTCTCTGGGAGACTCAGAAGAAATGCAAGTAAGTGTTTACTTTCTTTCCTTTGAAGCACTATTTGCTTTGTTGGTGCCAGATATAGCAAGGGCCTGGGCATTTCACATGATTTTATTGTTTACACCAATTTCTGCTCACAGTAGCAGCAATTTGCTCACTTTGAGTTCATTCTGTCTCTTGATTACAGGAGCTGGAGGAAGCAGGCAGCCAATTCTTTCATCTGAGCTCTACCAGGGAACG